TCTTTGTTAAAAACGACTCCCGTTGTGTTTGGCGACTCTTTTCTGTTACATACAAATAAACAAATACAATTATGATGTAGGCCAGAAAAATGAGCTTCCCCTCCTTGAAAGACCAGCAGCCACCACTGAGAAGATGCAGTGGTCCCATTTTATAGTTGGAGTGGAACTTCTTAGCACTGGGGTTGATGTGCTAGCACAGATGGATCTGGATGTCTGAATTTTTTGTTTTATTTTTCAATTCTAAGTTTGCTGGTGAACAACGAGTAACAGGATTTGTGCCACCACAGTTTTTCCACATCTGTTTTTTTTTTTTTTTTCCTTTCAATGGCTGGCTGGTTGTCTCTATCACAAAGTTTGTCTCGTGTCTGTGCAGCACCTTTCATTGTGTAAAACCCCTGCTGTCCTCCTTTGGATAACTTAATTTTGTGTCTCCTGACAGAAAAGACATTCTTCAAGAGCAAGGGAGTGGCCAGTCCTCTTCAGACTGCCAACAGCCTTTCTGATCAGGCTGAAACAAATTATTACTGCTTATTTAGCCAGCTCGTTTCAACCAATTCTGGGTTGAAACGAGTAGGACTAATAACTAATCAATAGTTATTATAACTATTCTATACTATTATTATTATTATTATTATTATTAACTCCCTAGTCAGGTTCCAGGCTCACAGCAATCCCCTAGATTGCAATAATATGGTGACGTTATACATTTTCTGAAACTCCATAGGCAAGTCAGTATTGCAGTATCTGTTTTTTTGTTTTTTGTTTTTTTCTTTGTGCCTCGAGTGTTCCTAGGTACCACAGGGTTAAAACAAAGAAAACAACTTGGGCGGAATTTGTGATGAAAAAAAAAAAAGTTCTTTGTGGTTTGAGGATCTCTCGTGACCTCCATGTATGTAAGAAAGGTTTATAGTTGGATTTGAATGAAAGCTACAAATGTCCCCTTTAAAAAAACATCAAACACAATAATTTTGAACGTTGGAAAGTGCCCTCACTTTGAGCCTAAACCAGGATAGGTAACAGCATCTAACATCCAATTTACCATGGGGTGGGGGTTAACTTGGAGGAGAAAATATGAAAAATCAGGGGCCTTATTTGAAGGGCAACCGGTGAATTCTTGTTTTGGACACCTTGAACTTTCAAAAAATGCTGGTTTCCCACTTTTCCTCAAAAATGCCTACAGGGACACATGATTCTGAAGTTACAGCCCAGTCTAATAAGACTGTTAGAAACAAGCAAGAGCAAAATAAAATTAAGTTTTAATTACAGCATTTACAGATGCATTCAGTCTCCTTCTTACTCTTCTGTCTCAAACAGTTGTGAGTGAAAGAGTTTAAGTTGTAGACAGAGGTTGCTTAGGGATTTGCATTATTAGCTGCAACTGCATGACCTGTGGGGCTCATGGCACCAGGTCCACGATTAAACAGTGAATGGACTTCTTCTTCAGTAGAATGGTGTTTGACACAGTTATTCTGGCCAGGACACTCATTAGCCAGTGTGTTGACAACCTCCTCATTTCATTATTTCATTTCATATTACACCTCAAAAACACAAGATGGCAGCAGTGAACCGATTTTGTCAGTTTTCATTCCATATAATCAGACTTTCTCTTTATATATTTTGACTTTTGTATATATTTCATACTTTTATATATTTACTCATACTTCCACACATATTTAGGCATTTATTATATTTATTCAAACATTCATAAAGATATATTCATACTTTCATATAAATATAATTTTATTATATATATTTCCAGTTTCAATCAATCAATTAACACACACACACATACACACACACACACACACACACATATATATATATATATATATATATACATATATATATATATATATATATATATATGTGTGTGTATATATATACATGTGTGTGTAACTGTATATATATATATATATATATATATATATAAAGATTTGAAGGTTCTTTTATTAGTTTATAAATGTCTTAATGGTCTTGGTCCTTATTTATCTGATTTGCTTATATGATATGAGCCCAGTAGAGCCCTCAGGTCTTCAGGTAGTGGTCTTTTAATAGTCCCCAAAGTGAGAACCATAACATATGGTGAGGCATCGTTTTATTATTATGGCCCCTGTCTGTGGAACAGTCTGCCTGAAGACCTAAGAGCAGCACCTACAGTTATATTTTTAAAAGCAAACTCAAGACCTTCCTTTTTAGTCTGGCCTTTAGCTGATTTTTGTTTCATTCTTGTAGCCTCTCTTTTAGTCTACTCTTTTTAGTATTTTACTCCAAGTCAGTCCTTGAATTATTATCTTATATTTTAACACTATTTGTTTTTTTCTTTTCTTTATTTTATTTTAAAACAGTTTAATTATTATTATTATTATTATTATTATTATTATTATTATTATTATTATTGTTTTATTTCATTTTATTTTTCATATTTTGTCATGGTTTTATCAGTTTAGCTTCAGCTCCTGTGTTTCCCCATTTTAAGATAGTGTTTCCTTGGTCCTCTGTGGCTTCCTGTTGAGCCGTGACTTGGTGTCCCAATGGTTGTGAGAGTGTGTGTATGTGTGTGTCTGTGTGGGTGGGGGGGGGGGTCTCTGTTAAATGCAGATTTGGAGGGTGGGTAGGTGGGGTTTTTGCAGTATGTATTTTATTTTGTAATTCATTTTGTATCCCCTGATCTGCTCCTTCTTGTGTACAGCACTTTGTGATACAAGTTTATGTATGAAAAGTGCTTTATAAATCAAGTGATTGATTGATTGATTGATTGATGTATACTGTGTATATATATATATATATTTATATACTGTATATATCAGTGGTTCTTAACCAGGGTTCTATCGAACCCTAGGGGTTCGGTGAGTCAGTCTCAGGGGTTCGGCGGAGCCTCTGCCACGGAGGTCAAGACACACCTGACTCATTATGTAAATTCGTGATGACATGCCCCACTTGGCCATCACTTGCTGCAGATGATCATGTTACATTAATTAGCCAATCAGTGCTGCGGGGAATTTAGTGTGCTCAGTAGTCACCGTGTGACTGTCGTAGTCATACGTTGTGTGGTTTCTTTCTTAATATTTTAATCCATGCTATGTCGAGCAAAAAAAGAATACAGATGCAGATTGCTTCAAAAATCCTGAGTTCATTCTCATTTTAGCATACATGGCTGATACATTCGCAGCTCTTTGATCAAAGTGATGTTCATGCACGGTTCATTTTGTGTAACAGTAAAAAAACATACCTATGTCTTGAATTTGGAAAAAAATCATATTTGATTTATCACTAAAGAAGGGTTCGGTGAAAGTGCATATGAAACTGGTGGGTTCGGTACCTCAAACAAGGTTAAGAACCACTGATATATATACATATATATATATATATATACACACACACACATATATATATATACACACGTATGTATGTACAGGGAGTAGTTGTTCTGCCAAAGAAGCATCTTTCACGTTAAAAAGCAGATTTACCACTGGTATTTTCAATACATGCACTGATGGCACTGAAGGGAGAGGAGGCATATATTTATATTGCGGGTTTATATTGAGGCCAAGAAAGCTCCAATCTCAACAGTCTTGGCATAACTCTGTTCCAAGGGGTGTCCAGGATTGTTAAATTGTATTGATAACAGTTTGATTTGATTAAAAACAAGCAAGGGGTTTAATCACTTTCATTTCAAATATTCCCTTCAGAGTAGTGCTGTGTCATTCACGAATGATTTGTTCAAAAGAACCGGATCTTTTAAGTGAACTTACTGAAGCAAATCACTTCTCCAAGTGATTCTTTCATTTGTCACTTCAGTTTAGCTGTCACCAGTGCAGCTGCTATAGCATGCAGCATTGCCAGGCAAGCAGCTGGCGAACGAAGGACCGCATGCACCGACACCTGAACCACTTGGTAAAAGAATTACACATTGAACATCACTCTTTGGAATCATTATTGTTGGACAAAAATGACTTTTTTTTTTTTTTTACTGCTACATTGCCACCACAACAACTTGCATACAGTAGGACACAGCATGTAACAAGTAGTGCATAAAACCCGCAGCATCCTATCCTTGCAGTGGTTTGTGAGGGAACGGTGCAAGTTCAGTGTAAATTCTTCTAAACGTTCAGTGTACGAATCACTCACTGAGCCCAATTTTCTGAACAGCCATGATAAATAGACTGTGTCTCAAATAGAGACTGCATACGGTTGAGCACAATCAGGCTTGCTTAGCTAAGCGCACTGCCGTTATGTGGACTTGAGTAGCCTGGGTGAGGTGGATTGGCTTTTGTGAATTGGGATGGTCTACCCTTCAGAGGACTTCCTGGTTGAGTCGCCAAATGTCCTCGCCCTCAGGCTTGCGTCACGACTGACTTGAAGAAAAGCCGTTGAGCGCAGCAGTTATTTTTTAATTGTGTGACGTTGCACAGACACAAAACAATAGATACATAAAAGCGCAGATCATTTCCAAAAAAATTCATCCTATGATTGCATGTTTTGTATGAAGGAGTATGAGGGCAATAGTGAGAATTTTTTAAAAAACTTTGAGATTAAAGTCATGAATTTACGAGAATAAGGTCATAAATTTATGAGAATAAAGTTGTAAGGTTCCCTGTTATTTCAAAGCCTCAGACCTCAGAAGGCGTAGAATCAACTGCTCCAGGGTTTTCATGATGTGTGAAGTGAGGGCCACTGGTCTGTAGTCATTGAGTTAAGCAGGACATTTTGTTTTTGGTACTGGCACATTCCAGGATGTTTTCCACAGAGCAGGTACCCGCTTCAGCTGTAGACTCAGGTTGAAGATCTTGTGGAGAGGTTGACACAGTTCTACAGCACAGTCTATAAGCAGCCTCGGACACACACCATCTGGACCAGCTGCCTTTCCAGGACAAAGTCTTCCAAGCTCCATCCTCACCCCTGTTTTGGTGACAGACAAGATGCACATTGGCATGCAGCAGACCCAGAGTTTTGTTTTCTCTGGTAGGACAGTTCACAAACTGTGTTAATCCAGTCAGGTGAGAGGAGAGGGTGACATGGTTGAAGTCTCCCGATATTATTATTAGTGCCTCAGGGTGTTGAGTCTGTAGCCTGGCAACAATATTTTGCAAAACATCGCAACATTCTTCAGGTGATTTCGGTGGAATGTAAACAACTACTGTTATGATATGACTAAATTCTCTTGGAACATAATATGGTCGAAGAGCAACTGCCAACAGTTCAATATCTGGACAACACAACTTCTCCTTGACAGTTATGTGTGAAGCGTTACACCATCTCTGGTTGAGAAATAAAGTCAGACCTCCTCCTTTCTTCTTGCCACTAGCTTGAGCATCTCTGTCTGACCTTATGAGAGTGAAGCCAGGTAGATCCACACTGGAGTCCGAGTTGTTTTGACATAACCAGGTTTTAGTAAAACACAGGAAACTGCACTCACGGTATGCTTTCTCAGTCTTCACCAAGATCTCCAGCTCATTGCTTTTGTTGGGCAGAGAGTTGACGTTACCCATGATGATTGAAGGAAGAAAGGGTTTACAGTGCATCCAGAAAGTATTCACACGACTTTTTCCACATTTTGTTATGTTACAGCCTTATTCCAAAATGTATTAAATTCCCTTTTTCCCTCAAAAATTCTACACAAAATACCCCATAATGACAAAGAAAAACTTTTTTTAGAACATTTTGCAAGTTTATTAAAAATAAGAAGACTCAAATGTTGCATATACATAAGTATTCACACCCTTTACTCAATACTTGATCGAAGCACCTTTGGCAGTGATTACAGCCTCCAGTCTTCTTGTGTATGATGCAACAAGCTTGGCATACCTGGATTTGGGGAGTTTTCCCATTCTTCCTTGCACATCCTCTCAAGCTCAGTGAGGTTGGATGGGCAGCGTCAGTGCACAGCTACTTTCAGGTCTTTCTAAAGATGTTCAATCGGGTTCAAATCTGGGCTCTGGCTGGGCCACTCAAGGACATTCAGAGACTTGTCCTGAAGCCACTCCTTTGTCTTCTTGACCATGTGCTTAGGGTCATTGTCATGCTGGAAGATGAACCGTCGCCCCAGTTGAAGGTCTCGAGCGCTCTGGAGCACGTTTTCATCAAGGATTTCGATGTACTTAGCTGCATTTATTTTTCCCTCGATCCTGACAAGTCTCCCAGTTCCTGCCGCTGAAAAACATCTCCACAGCATGATGCTGCCACCACCATGCTTCACTGTAAGGATGGTATTGGCGAGGTGGTGAGCGGTGCCTGGTTTCCTGCAGACATCACGCTTGGCATTTAGGCCAAAGAGTTCGATCTTCGTTTCATCAGACCAGAGAATTTTGTTTCTCCTGGTCTATGAGTCCTTCAGGTGCCTTCTAGCAAAGTCCAAGCGGGCTGTCATGTGCTTTTTACTGAGGAGTGGCTTCTGTCTGGCCACTCTACCATAAATGCCTGACTGGTGGAGTGCTGCAGAGATGGTGGTCCTTCTGTAGGGTTCTCCCATCTCCTCAGAGGAATGCTGGAGCTCTGTCAGAGTGACCATCGGGTTCTTGGTCACCACCCTGACCAAGGCCCTTCTCCCCGCTTGCTCATTTTGGCTGGGCGGCCAGCTCTAGGAAGAGTCCTTGGGCCTCATTCATCAACCATACGTTCGCACAGATGTGTGCGTAAAGAGTGCGTACGAACATTCCCACGCAGTCTGGAATTTATCAACCTGTACTTGTGCTTAGGAACGTGCGTAGATTTAAGCACAACTCTGACCATAAGTACACACAAAACCTAGTGGTAGGACAGTAAAACTACAAATAGAACCCATTAAAGGAGTCACAGCGTTCCGCAATCTCAAACTTCACACATGTTCCCGTTGCCTCTATACAAAATTTATCAATTAGTAATTTAGCAGACATTTTGAATGATTGGTGAGACAAGCTATAAAAATCTGCTGTGACAGGACAACCTCAAAAGAAGTCTTACAAGTACAAATACAAGTATCACGGTTTATTTTGCGCTATTGGAGGACTTGGAGAAGCGCCTGCTCCTCCGCAGGGAGCGCGTTTTCAAAGACCGTGCTGATCTGTTCAGTGAGAACTCAGAGTGGATTCTCAGCAGGTACCGCTTCCCCAAAACATTTTAATGGATTTACGCTGTGATTTACTACCCGTGTCGGAGCGAGAAACAAAACGCACCAAAGCCATCCCAGCGCACATCCAGCTCCTATCCACCCTAACCCGAACATTTCAGCGTGAGATTTGAGACATATGCGATATTTCGCAGCCAACGCTAAAAAGAATCATGCCGGCAGAGTTGGATGTAATAATTTCTCTGGCCTCAATTTACATCCAGTTCCCAAACACACATCAGCAACAAGCCGAAACAAAACGAGGATTTCACGCCATCGCCGGATTCCCAAACACAATTGGAGCCATAGATTGCACCCACATCGCAATAAAAGCACCTTCACACAATAAATTCAGATTCGTCAACAGGAAAAGATTTCATTCAATCAATGCACAAATAATCTGCGATGCACATTTGTTTCTGTTAAACATTGTTGCCCGGTGGCCTGGAGGAGCGCACGACTCATTCATTCTGCAGAACAGTGCTGTGAGTGTGCACCTCCAGGAGGAGGAAAAACATTCATACACGCATTTTTAAAGGGATTGTTGATGCCATATATGGTCAATTGGAGGCGTTCCTGAATGCAAATGACTCTAACCATGCACGAGCACGGTAGTAAAGAACAGGTGGGATTTATCATCACCAATTACTTACGTGTGTGTGTACGACCGGTGTCCGCACATTTGATAAATATGGATTTTTTTGTACTTACGCACATTCTAAATTTCATTCCTACGCCAGAATTTAGAACCTTTTCTACGCACGTTTGATAAATAAGGCCCCTGGTGTTTCCAAACGTCTTCCATTTCTTAATGATGGAGACCACTGTGCTTTTTGGGATCTTCAATGCAGCAGATATTTTTCTGTAACCTTCCCCAGATCTGTGCGCCGATACAACCCTGTTTCGGAGGTCTACAGACAATTCTTTCAACTTCATGGCTTGGTTTGTGCTCTGATGGGCTCTGTCAGCTGTGGGATCTTATATAGACAGGTGTGGCTTTCCAAATCACGTCCAATCAGCTGAGTTTGCCACAGGTAGACTGCAATCCAGTTGGAGGAACATTTCAAGGCTGATCAGTTGAAACAGGATGCACCTGAGCTCAATTTTGTTGTTGTTGCCCAGATTTGCTTTTCCTCAGTGAAAGGAGCTCTTCTCTTGAGTAAACTCTTCGCCCAGCAGAAGTATCCATCAGCTGTCAGCAAAATTACAACAAAAATATGAAAAAAATCTAGCATAAATTACAAAAATTACAGATAATACAGAGAGACCAGACTTGCAGGAACCTCTCGGTTGAAGCGCATCATTTGAATGAAGGAACTGTGCTTCAGTATAGGTTTCACAAACAAGGAGATACTTCATCCTTTGGCACATCAGCATTACATTGTCATAAGTATAAGGACTTTAAAACGAATATATGAGAAATGCATCTTTTCCACAGAAAAAAAACAAACAGGTGGACTTGGAGGAAATCGCTGCTTTTGTGGTGGCAGAAATGGATATGCTGCGGATAAATCCGTCACGCAGCCGTGAATCGCCTTGAATGGCACTAAGCTTTAGTTCATGACATGAATCCATATGCCATAATAAGGCATTGGTGTCTCTCGGAGCTTGACTCCCTCTGGATCACAAATGTTGATCATCAGCTGGATTGTTTCCTGAAAAAACACAAAAGCTCTCTGAATGGCCAGCTGATGCATCCACCAATAACCCTGCAGTTGACCAGCTCCAGCCATTCCCCCCTCTGCTAAAGCAGCTTTATGACTTTTTTTTTTTCTAAATTTACAACTTTAACCTCTAAGTCTTTAAAAAAAAATTCGATGTAGCCCTGATACTCCAATTTAGTTTTGGCAGCTTACTAATTTCTAATGTTTTTGATTGTGGTAGCAGAGCAGATTAGTACTTTTCTAAAGAGTATAATGTTTGGTTTGCAGATTTTAGTGAGTTCAGAGATCATGTGCTCATGCAGCCTGAGCTGACTGCGTCTCCAAGCGAGTCTGGCCTCTCATCCAAAATGCGCAGCTGTGCAGCGACATGCAAAGAATTCTGGGCTACCAGGGCCAAGAAAGCATGCATAAATGCATGCTCGAAAAAGGGGCGGGGGCAGGGTGGTTTTGGGACCGCATTCGAAGTGCGCTCAGAATCATGAGCCAAATGGGACACCGTTAGCGCCGTGTGATGACGTCACGCACACTTGAAATGCGCCGTCCGACTGTGCAGTCTCTGAATTGAGACACAGCCATAGTGTACCAAAAGACAGTACACTTTAAACATAAACAAGTTCATTTTTACAAACCTGTTTGCCAAAGCAACACAGCCAAACACTCTTGTCTCCCAGTCCTAGAAGCTATGTATTGAACTGAATTCTGTATTGTTCAGCTCTGTATGAGTTCAGGACGTCGCAGTTGTAGGCTCCTCCTGCCAAGCACTGAATGATTTGGTGATTCTGTGAACGAATCTTTTGAAAGAATCTTTTTAGTGAACTGATTCTAGTGATTCAGCACATCTAAAAGAACTGCCATGCCTATCACTACTTCAGAGTAGCAAAGTTTAAGTGACTTCATGTTAGGTCTAAAACCTGCCCAAATACCTAAAAACATATAAAGAAGAGAAAGACAATGGTATATACTCGAGGAGAATGGACAGAGATCTTTTTTTTAGTTATCTCAATACCACTCTAAGGGTGCTTTTTCTGTCCGGCCTCTTTTATTTAGGGTTGTCCCTGGTTACACAATGTTTCTAAAGGGTGGGGAAAATATGTGCAGCAACGTAAGCACTCTCATAAAACATAATAATGAACAACTGTGAATATGTGAAGGTCAAGGCGACATTTGTTGCATCTAACGAGCTCCTTCTGATAAGGGTGTATCCTCCTCTTATTTCCTTCCCACGATTCATCAGCGGAGGATACGTCACCCCCACACCCACACCTGCTGATAGGAAAAACATGGTCACAGAAAACTGAAAGAAACATTGTTGTGCTGTGTAGTAAATCTATTGGAGAGAGAAGTTAGGAAACACTCTTATATGATAAAAATACTCTTATATAATGTATAAAAAGAGGTCAAAGCAGTTTATACTTGTAGTATAAACTCTTACATAAGAATATGAGGAATAATGATAACTTCTATATACATTTATGCACATTATTCTAACATTTCCCTCCTGTTTATCATTACTTTGCTCAAATTCTCCAAATCCCTCTAGTTCAGCCACTTCTCTCGATTTTCAGCTGCAAGTTCATGTTTATAACTACAAAGAATGTACACACGGAGGTACAAGATGTTGCTTTAGTCAGAATTATACTCATCATCCAAATTGGGGCACAGGTCAGGCCATTGAGTGTCATCAAGTCTGTCCTCCTCGTCCTGCTGATGGAGCAGCGGGTACAATTCCTGCATCTGCTGCTCCACAGGGGACAACGCTGTGGTGATAAGGCGGTTAAGAAGAGAATGAACACAGGGCATCTAACAACATCCACACAAGGTCAGAATAGCTGCAAAAACAGCAACAGAGATTAGGACTGAATCTACAAGATTTTTGTATTTTCCAAATACATTCATCCAATCATCCCAAAAGGAGTTATCTATTCCTGAGTGGTCTTTCATTTTGCTGTTAAGCGTTTTAAGGCCCTCTATGGCTCGAGTGAGGCTGCTATCAGCAGCAGTGTTATCAGGAATGAACGTGCAACATGTTTCTCCAAACATGGCACATACACCTCCTTTTTCTGCGAGCAGCATGTCAAGGGCTATACGGTTTTGGAAAGCCATCAGGGATGTTGCAGATAACTGCGAGTGACCGGCCTGAAAACCAGCCTCAGTCCAATTACCTAGCTTTTGAACGTTGAAATGGATGTAGTTGATTCTGATTCGATCTATATTTTTGTTCATTGTATACCTGCAGCAACTTGATTTACTAGTTTATACTCATCTGGTACCTCACGAGGAACTATCTATATAAGTCGGGTCTGACTCTGTTTGCTAGTTTCTTTTACTCTGGAGTGGCTCAACAAAGGAATAAGACTAACTGCAGAGGTTAAATTTGCCACACTGGTCTGGAAAATTACAACAGTTAGGATTAAAGTCACTAAGGCCCTATTATCAGTCTGCTGTCATTCAGGTACAGCTACAGAAACACGTACAGGTTTGTTATGGTTAGGGAATTCCTAGTACATACATAGAAGTTAGACTGATTCTTCATTTTTACTAGATATTTTTGCATATCTGTAGCGCATGTTCACTTCAAATTAGTTTTTTTTTTTAAATATTTATTGAGTGGGATTGCGAAGCACTCCCACTATATTTTTATTCATATCTTTATTAATATTATTCTTCCACCATTTTTTTTTATTTTTTATACTCTGTCACTTTCATTAGCCATTCTGTCTCCACATCTGGTCTGTTGTTGTCACTTCTCTTTCCTTCCTTAAGTTCATCTGAAGTAAGATACTTAACTTCCCCATTTTCCTAAGCTCCTAAGGAATTCAAGACCATCTAATCTTCACTGACATTGAGACGAACGCCCACTATAAGGACGCCCCCCTTTGAAGTCAGACTTTCCTAACTAAAACCCATATAGGTTTTTTTTTGCAATGGGAAAGATGTATCCAACTACTTCTTTGTGCTATTTTTACTGCTGTGGGTGTCATTAGCAGTACCTTTTTTTTTTTTTTTTTTTTATTCCTTCCACTTACTTCAACATATTCAAAACCATTCAAACTTCAGGAGATTCCAGCTTATATTCAAAATTTTCCTAACATTCATACTCATATTCATATTCCAGATTTTCCAACCAATTTTTCTCATTAGAAATGCATTATGGATTTTTTCAAATTGGCCCTTTTCTCACATTTTCTTTACACAACTTTAAAAGCCTTCAACTCCTCTATAAATTCAGATTATGATCATTTTAATTTTCCAGTTTTAAATCATTTCATTCTTCATTCAGTATTCAATTTTTTCAAACTAATTCCAACTCATTTAAACTGATTTAAACCTTTCTGAATCTTCAAATCTCATATCTTTCACATAATTTTTGAACTTAAACCATTTACAATAGCATCTTAGCAATTACAATTTTAGCTGGAGCAATCCATCTCGCAATTTCTCCAGAAATTGCATTTTCTGGTTATTATTTATTTATTTATTTATTTATTTATTTCATTTACAAAATGAGTTCCATTGTCACTGTAGATTCGTTTTGGAATGCTAAATCAAGAAATGATTTCTCTATACAGGATTTTTGCTACTGTTAATGCATCTGGATGAGTGACAGGAAATAATTCTATCCATTTAGTGAAAGGATCTATTAACACTGAACAATATTTCTTTCTCTCACACTGATTTAATTCTATGAAGTCCATGTGCATGGCTTCAAATGATGCATTGGTTGGTGGAAATTTGCCTCTTTTTGGTTTTATACTGTCTTGAGCATTATGTCTAGCACAAACAAAAAAACTTTTTTTTGAATAATTTACGAATCAATAGGGGGTAAAGTGTTGATTAACTACTACACTCATCCCTCCTGTCGAGACATGGCAAGGCCCATGACTCGCTATTAATGCCTTTAAAGCTCTGTTTACTGATCTGACAAAAATCTTTTGTTTGGAAAACCTAATCTGTGGCAGTTTATGTCCAAGAGCTGTTTTCTTTTTTTTTTTTTGCACCAGAGTCAAACAAAAAGGTTACAGGTAAACCATGAATCATTAACTATATCTGTGGTTTTATGTCTGCATAATGTGTTCCTTCTCCAACAGACTGTTGCAGCTCCGCTGTCGAAGGGACAGATACAGGAAATCTGTCCTGCCACAAGCTATTGCACTGTTGAATAACTCACATATATCAGACAGGGACTCACACCTGTCTGCTGTATAGTCCATTTTTAAAAACTCCTACCACATCATATTACTAAGCACCTCTAATTGTCTGTATATTTATCATCCCATCTGTAATATTTTGTATTTCATATTTATCACTCATTTCATATTTATTACTAATTTCAATAGCCCACGTTCTTCATATCTCACTTTTATCTCTTAGGATGTTTAGTATATTTAGCCTGTATTTACTGTATATACTTAGTATTTTTATTCTGCTTTGTACTTGCTTCTTCTTATATTGTAATTTTATTTTGTATTTTCTTTTTGCTGCTGTACCAAGAGAATTTCCCAGTTTGGGATCAATAAAGTATATCTATCTATCTATCTATAAAATATATATATATATATATATATATATATATATATATATATATATATATATATATATATATATATATTTATTCATCTCCTCCAAATTTAGCACTTCTTCCTCCTCTGTGTCTTCTCTGTTCACACTTTCTCTTCATTTCTGTCGAATAACACTTGCTGTCTCTCCTTCTTCTTAGTCATGCTTGATACTTTTTTCTACAGCTCTTCACCTAGTGACCAAAAGCTCTGCAATGCTCTGATGTTGTGGTTCATGACCTCGGGCAGGGTACTGTTCTTTATCTCTCTGCTCTTGTGATTCATAAACTTTCGTCAAAACTTCTACTTCCTCTATCGCCTTCTCTATTGAAATTCCTGCCTCTTAACCTGCTTCTTCCTTGTTCTCTCTGTCATAGTCATCAAATGGTTTATCATCTCTCCTATTATCTCATAGTCGTCCTATTTATCTCATATAGTATGAAATTCATTGTCACATTTGGAGTTAATCTTACGTTAAATAGCATTATAGGGAGGGCTTTTAATTCCAAGTTAGCTTTGGTGTTCTCTGCACTTTACTATGGTTACTTCTTTAAGTTCCAATAAGGTATAATATCAATCAGTTGGTTCAAATGTTTAACAGGGATGCCAGCTGAGGTCAGAAAACCTCTTCTTCTCCAGCGACACGTCTACATGTACAACTTACACTTCATAGACTGTAACAGTCAAGTCACAGTTTTGTCTTTTGATAGCTACATGCTTCTGCATAGGGAGGGATTCTTTGGCTGCTGTGTCTCTGGAGGAGTCAAGGTCGTAGCTGGCATTTGATGCATCATTTTATCATTTGTGCAGAGAACAGAGACTGTACAGAGAATTTAACTTGCTAAAAATTTGCAGTCTGCATTAAACCTTTCTGCCTTTTTAACTGCCTTTTCTACCTTTCATTTCTGCATTATTATCAGTATTATTAAAGTTGTCTTTACTTGTAGCTTTTTTGTTTATGGAGACATGTAGTTTATTTAATTGGCTTGTTCTTAGGCTGCCGTCAAACCCAAATTTGATTACCCATAATTCGAGAAATTGTAACTTTTCTGGCTTTTTCTGAAAGATTCTCCAATCTTGACATTTTAGTTCTTCTAATTTAGCCTTACTGGCTTCCGTCCCCATTTTTATGTGTTTTGGTCCAGCTTAGGTGACACCTAGGGTGTCCTATTAAGATGGGTTCTTTCAATGGGGTAGTGATAAAAATTCCTTATGTGGTAATTCTCACTTCTACTCTTGCGAGTGGAGAATTCTTGCCTTTGCTTCCACAATAAGGTCACTACTTACAATCCCACTGTTTTGGTATGAATAGGATATATCTAGTGATATATCTCTATTCCAATCACTCTCACACTTTCACAATCACACTTTTAACACGTGTTTTGTTCTGCAGAATTTTCTCAATCAGGCCTTTGTCCACGGCACAACACCGGACCCGCGCGTCTTCCTCGGAATTTAAACTCATCTAAGCTGTGTCCGAATTGGGCCAACGTGTTTAGTATGTAGGAGTAGGATCTAGCAGTAGCACGTAGCAGTAGCATGTAGTATGCGAGCGGGCAATTCGGACACAGCACTAGTAGTAGGACTCCGGCATCCTTCCTCAGAATTTAAACTACATCTAGTAGTAGGACTCCGGCATCCTTCCTTGGAATTTAAACTATTTCTAGTAGGACTCCGGCATCCTTTTTGGTCTTTTATAAATTCTCTACGCGAAGCGAATCTCAATCAGTCCACGTTTCTTTTTATAAAAGACCAACTCACCACTTGTCTTTCCCATTGGCTTCAGATTTCCGTCAACCGGCGGATCGAGTCCAGTTCCTCAAAGAGAGGCTGCCGTGGCCACGGTCTTATCTGTCGTCCACCTCACCTGCTGGAATCGTCAGGTCTATTGGAATCCGGCTCTAAGGACCAAAGAAATGTTAGGTCTAAAACCTGCCCAAATACCTAAAAACATATAAAGAAGAGAAAGACAATGGTATATACTCGAGGAGAATGGACAGAGATCTTTTTTTAGCTATCTCAATACCACTCTAAGGGTGCTTTTTCTGTCCGGCCTCTTTTATTTAGGGTTGTCCCTGGTTACACAATGTTCCTAAAGGGTGGGGAAAATATGTGCAGCAATGTAAGCACTCTCATAAAACATAATAATGAACAACTGTGAATATGTGAAGGTCAAGGCGACATTTGTTGCATCTAACGAGCTCCTTCTGATAAGGGTGTATCCTCCTCTTATTTCCTTCCCACGATTCATCAGCGGAGGATACATCACCCCCACACCCACACCTGCTGATAGGAAAAACACGGTCACAGAAAACTGAAAGAAACATTGTTGTGCTGTGTAGTAAATCTATTGGAGAGAGAAGTTAGGAAACACTCTTATATGATAAAAACACTCTTATATAATGTATAAAAAGAGGTCAAAGCAGTTTATACTTGTAGTATAAACTCTTACATAAGAATATGAGGAATAATGATAACATCTATATACATTTATGCACATTATTCTAACACTTCAGCAAAAATTAAAAGAAACACTTCCACACTTTTGTCTCCCTTATTTTCCTTTTAGTCTAAGGAAAAATTGTAACATTTCAACCAACAATTTTATATTCTGCTACCTATAATAAAGTATGAAAGAAATAGACAAACTCCTACACACAAAACACACGTTTACAGTAAGATCTTTCAAATACAGTTAAAAGAATTAATCCCTATTTTACAATTGAAATGAACTCCTGATTTCTTTCTGAAATATTTTCAAAGCTATCTTTGGAAAATAAATAAGCTTATCATACTAATATTTCCTTAAAAAAACACAAACTTTATTAGCTTCTTTCAAAGGGGCTTTGTTGAGTTTCTTGCGGTGGGAATTGCTGAATAGTTTCTTGAACTTATTTGCCTTTTCCCTATGATCTTTTTGTAAATCATTTTGGGAATATGTTGAACACTTAAGGTGGGGAACTCACTTAAAAATCTCTTAACAGAATGCAACTCTACAAACACTGGGTCATGTGTGAACAACAGATGTTAGTAAAGTCTGAAAATTTAACAAGTAGGATCTATCTCTCTCAGAGATGCATGCTGTAAGCAGTTATCAGAGATTGAAAGGGATTATACCAAATCAGATCACTGTATCTCAGCCTAGCCATAAAAAGATGGGTCATTATGAGCTTAACCCCATGTAATGTCACTTGTTTTATGAAATGTATTAGATTATATAAGCCAATATTCATGCTGCTGTTTACCTTCTCTTTCTAATCTGATTATCTGATTTCTCTTTGGATCTTTTACTAAAACTGTGAGCTATTGCTACTTACAACCTCTGCTTTACTGATATGAAGTGTTTGTCCCTTCTGCCGTTCTTTCTTTATATAAAAACATTGTTATTTTTTTACATTATGCTTAAGTATTCACAAGAAACTGAGTCTACAGTAGATGAAACATGTTAAAAGCCCACAACCTCAACACATTGTCTAATACAGGAACACAACAGAATTTTTAAATTAGTCTTAGAAAAAGTTTATTAAAAAAATCTAATCAAGATTTCTAAGAATGCACTAGTATTTACATTTCTAGGGGTGTATATGAGATTGGGGGTGGGATTTTCTATTATATGCAAATGTACATCCACCTCATACAGTACTTGATGGTGGTTAATAGGCTTACATTGAAGAGGGTTTTTAATAGGAGATTGCAGGTCTAAGGGTTGGAGCTTAAAAACCAAGCAGACACATAGTCACAGGATGGACAGCTGGTTGTATTGTAAAGCTCAGGGGATATGTTGATGGACAGGTTTTATGGACAGTAACTTTTTAAACTGCACTGGTCAGTTGTTTTTTTCTTTTATCTTTTGCCAGCATTGCACGAATTATGGTATGTGTAAAAATGTAATTGCTCTTACAAATTCAATTTGATAATACCGGTTCTCAATTATTTCATAGTTCATTCAGGCATAGCCACAGCAAATACTGTTTTTACCATTTGTGTTTGTAAATATATTACATTAAAACAGATACTTTAAAAAGTGCATCCCCATCTGTTGAGCTACAGTGAATAGAGCTGGTGTTTAATTACCAGGAGGATTAGTCATTCAAAGCAAAACTGATTATGCTTTTGTCTTTCCCACTGGATCAAGCTAACACACACTATGTTTTCCCCTTGGGCGCGAAGTGTTCCATGTTTACAAGAAACCCTGTAACCCATTGAGCATAAAACCCTCCTCTAAGCTCAATTTATCTTGACCGATGGAGATGAAATCATCTTTGAGCAGCAGTTGTGGTCTTACCAGAAACTTATTTCTCCTGGGGTAAACCCACACTGGCTTGTAGTCTTGTACTAGAACAGAGACACAGTTAAGTACAGAATAACTGAGAGAAAATCCAGAATAACACAGATGTACACGTTTCATTGATAGTTGTTATTGGACAAGGCATTTAAAGACAGTGAACATAACTGTCAAGTCTAACAACTTGAGACTGTTGAGAGAAAAAATGATCTTGTCATTAATTATCAAACTTGTCGGTAAGCTAGTCTGTACTTTTGGCATTAAAAAGCCTGTCAGATTAATTTTTGCTATTATCTTGTACACATAATTAAACAAAAAATTCACATTTATATGTCAAACATATGTCAAGTTAAAATGTTGTAAAGGCCTGTGTGGAAAGGTGGCCTTTTTGCAGGTCATTCTGGATAGAAGGTAGGTCAATATGACTCAAGTTTTGAATGTTATTTGCAAATGTGACAGAGTTACAAGACGTGGTTGTACCAACACTTCATGTACTCTAGCCTTTTACAATATTTTTTCTGAAATCATCCCGTGCACCACAGCAGAAACGTTGAAAGCACAGGTAGCCTACAAGATTCAGTTTCAGAGACAATGACAAAAATACCAGAAAGACAGTAAATGCCTGTTATGTGATCATTATTCATTATGACTCTAAATTTACAGATTAAGTACAAGTATAATATAGATTTTGATAGTTTAGCGATATCTTGGTGTACAGATGGAGCAGACATGGCAAGATTATCCAGCAGTGAGAGTGGTCGCTGACCCTTCACTGTGCGTTGCGTCCCTACCGTAGCGTGGGGTTTCCTAAACCTGAGAGCAGGGTCACCGCGCCCATCTCTGCTGCTTAATGGCCAGAGGAAGACGCGATTGAGGTCCTATCTTGAGGGAAGAAAATATTAGGACGACCGTGGGGAAAACAAGAGGGAAATTTCGTCTTGATTTGGAAATTGCCGTTGAATGGAGGAACACTGGAACTCTGACACATCTATTTGACTGAACAGCGCCTCATCTCTGCGCCTCTGCACCGGTGTGTCTCCTCCTCGGCGGGTTACAAACTGAGTTTGGGGAGTGCCTCCCCTCTAGCTTAACAAGCTAAATCTGAACGCCTGTGGGGAAACGGAAGACAAGGTTTTGCCGTTCTCAGTCAATGTGATATAATATTGGATACCCTCGACTAAAAGCCGGTAAGTATGTATGCTGTTGTTTCACATTGCGCCTTAGGAGATGCATTAAGTGTCTATCCTATTAGCTGCCCCGTGAAACGGGAAAATGGGCGAAAGGGGTTGAACTGGGTTGTGTGCCTTCTAAGCAAGAGTTAGCTAGCTACTATTAGCTGTTTGCTAGCAAGTCTATCTTGTCAATACAGTGGTTGGGTGGGGGGCGTCATAGTAAGAGACACTATACGGTCTATGTTGACCCAGGGTTTAGATTACTCGTAGATTCTGGACGGGTTTCTATATGATAACGTATGCTTTATATGAAGCCTTTAACCAATGTTCTCAACTCAGGTCAGGTTGGCTGGGGATAGCTCAGTTAGTTCGCCGTCAGAACCCGTTTACACGTCTGGGTGCCCCCATTTGCCCCTAAAATAAGCAGCGTTTGTTTATCATGGCTAGCTGACACATAGCTTATTAGTTAATTTATCCGACCTCTATTTACACTCAAGGGTGAATTAATATGCCCCATTGATACTTCTGCAAAAAGCTAGCTGACGTTTTTACCGATGAGTGAGCCAATATGTTGTTTTCTGTTTTTAATTAATAGTTGAACATTGCGGGTTGTTGAATAACCCGGGTTAGAAAAACCATATTGTACAATTGCAACCTCTTCCGTAACCCCAAACAAAAGAATTAATTTCATATTTCTCTCTAAATCAAGCGAGATATTCGTAGCATCATATAAATGGAAAAGGAGTCTAAAAATGGCTACTTGACCAACACGATCACGCCAGCCTCCGCTATTCTAATGCCAGTTAACAAGTTAACTTTGACCTGTATTGGCCACAGGCCACAACTGAAACGACTGATCTGGCTGTAAACATCTGAAATGCAGCACGAATTACTTGTCAGTTTCGCATGTAAACATGAACGGTGCTGTTGTCTAGTGCGGCTCTATGTAAAACTCATCCACTAGGCAAAATATGTTGACATTGCAACAAAGTTTTGTATAACCAAATCCATTAACTGTGGACACACGTATCCGACTACTTGCAATGTCGAGAAAGGTCTCTTTGCGTCAAAATGTTTTATGTAGTAATTTGAAAGCAGCGTCATGTAGTATTGCTGTGCTCTCAGCCCCCCCGTAAAGTCTCCAGGGCTAAAGCATTAACTCGCGCACCTTAAGTGCTAAAATGGAAACTGCCTTAAACGCGGTTCATATCTACAATCCATAAAATAAATAATAGGGACTTTTGCATATGTATCCACGGGGCTTTACAGCCGCAGAACAAGGTAAAAGTAAAAAGAGAAGGTCTGTTGCAGGGCTGTTGCAGGACTGTTAGCCTCTTCAGTAAGTATGGCCTCTCTTCTTCATAGTATTGAGAGCATTAGTTATGTACACAGAACTAAACAGAACAAGGATGGAATGAAAATCTGCACATCATCATAAGATAAAAGTATAAGTTATCCTGTAATTTCAGCGTAGAAGCCAATCAGTGGTTTAGAAATGACCCAGACCACAGGACTCCTAGCTAAACTTATTTTGCTCTGAAGACAGATAAATGCCTGCCATATTTATGAAGATAAGAAGAGCGTTGTGATGTTTCTGGATAGTACATTTCTGAAATCCCCTATTTCTGGCGGTGTTCCCCAAAAGCTGGTATTTCTGAAGTGAAGCTTCTGTTTGTACGGGTTGACAAAGATGAATTCATTTTGCCAGTGTGCCCCCTCCCTCCTCCTTCTCCTCCTCGAATGAATGGGTTCCTGTATTCAAGGCCCAAGCAGCTGCAATGAACAAGATGGCGTTCAAAGTCTTTTTAATCATAGCTTCTTCTGGGACTAAGAGAGACAGCTGCTGAGCAGCCAATGGGTCAGAGCTTGGCATGATATATTCCTTTGATTCCATCATTGTTGATATATACAGAATGTTTGTTTAAAAAAATGCTGTAATGCTGAAGGAATTCCTGATCAGATGAATCCAGAATATGCACCCTGGATACGAGATAACACGAAGGGGGAGATATACCATTGTAGCTAGCTTAGTTGTGGACATGAGCACTAGAGAATATCTGAAATGGTATTAATGTTTTTATTTTTTTATTTTTTATTTTTATAAGATAACATTCTATGTAAATTGTTTGTTAACTTACAGACTTTTTAAAAATCAGTTGTATGAAGGAGAAATTAGATATTCTCTCAAAGCACATCATCTTGAAATAATATCTTAAAGATATTATTCCACCAGGCTTCATATGAATTAGTACTTTTTATTATCGTTGACCAGGTAACTGAATTATTTGGCTGGTTTAAATTGGGCTAATTTGAAACATCACAGGGATTTCTTGCTTTGTTTGGTCGAGATTTGCTCATCAAGTACTTGCCTACAACTCCCAGTAATGATAATAATCATTCAAATTCAAGAAAAACTTGTAACAAAATATTTGTAAGCGAATATCGTCTGCAGTGCTTATTATGATGATTATTACTTCATGGAATTAATCCACAGCACTCGGTGATCGACTTGTCAGGGCTTCCCCACAAAGCGGCTGCTGGAGGAGAGTGGGTAGGTTGTGTTTGGTCCCTTTACTAAATAAACCAGGCAAACCTAAAAGATGTTTGGTGGCTAGTGCTATGGCTGGGACCCTATCTGTACTGTTGATGAAGTTAGGTGCTGTTCTGAGCATTATTTGTGGCTATAGAGTGGCTTTTTGGTTAAGGTGTGCACGTGGAGATGTACACCACTGTCTATTGCTATTGTGCAGTTGTTACTAAAGTTGGTATAACTAGAGAAGCGAGCAGTCAGCAACATTCATCTCTTAAAGGGGTGTTCAACTCTGTGTCACGATATGTTTGACCCTAACTTAATTTTACGCTGGAACATCCTTATAACTGCATGGTCTCATCCTCAAATAAATTTGAACCTAAAATAAGACTTCACATTCCAAAATCAATATTTACAAAAATGAAAGGTAGTCTTATAATAGAATAGAAATAATAGAAATCAACTCTTAAACTGATTCAAAAAAGACAACAGATATAGAGCATAACATTTCATAACTCCTTTCTTTTGTTTCACTGGTTCTTTAATTCTTAGTTCAAAACTAAACAGCTCAAAAATCTCCTCTCTCTCCACTCTTCTCTCTTTTCCTCTCCACTCCACTGTTATATTTAACATTGCATGTTTTTGTCATTGTTTTTGTTAATTATTAATTATCTCATGAGTCACAAAGATGAATTTGGCAAAGCTCCACCGCTTCTTTTAAATCTTACCGCTCTGTGCTAAAACCTGAGACCAGAGTCTGGCTTCTTCCTGGCTTAATTGCATACTAACAGTGATTGGATGTTTACGAAGGACTGAGGGAGAGGTGCGTGTGTGAGTGAGCCTGAGAAGATACACATGCAGAGGAGTGGACGGACAGAGAAAAGAGAGGGAGTGGATTCTGTATCTTGTCCTTTGGCAGATCTTTGTCACTTTTTTATCCTTCACAATCTAAGATCCTCAGATCGCACTTCCCTAGTGTGAGACATGGAGCCCCAGTGCAAGCCCCCCTGCAGTTGCCCCAGCAGAGCCTCCCACTGAGAGAGTCATCCCGTTCACTTTGGTGAAAATGGACCGAACGACAAAAGAGAAGCATAAGTAGCATTTTATCAGAAGCATCTCTTACTGAATGCACTTTATTTTATATCTTTATTTGTTATATACACTCACCGGCCACTTTATTAGGTACACCATGCTAGTAACGGGTTGGACCCCCTTTTGCCTTCAGAACTGCCTCAATTCTTCGTGGCATAGATTCAACAAGGTGCTGGAAGCATTCCTCAGAGAGCTTGGTCCATATTGACATGATGGCATCACACAGTTGCCGCAGATTTGTGGGCTGCACATCCATGATGCGAAACTCCCGTTCCACCACATCCCAAAGATGCTCTATTGGATTGAGATCTGGTGACTGTGGAGGCCATTTGAGTACAGTGAACTCATTGTCATGTTCAAGAAACCAGTCTGAGATGATTCCAGCTTTATGACATGGTGCATTATCCTGCTGAAAGTAGCCATCAGAAGTTGGGCACATTGTGGTCATAAAGGGATGGACATGGTCAGCAACAATACTCAGGTAGGCTGTGGCGTTGCAACGATGCTCAATTGATACCAAGGGGCCCAAAGAGTGCCAAGAAAATATTCCCCACACCATGACACCACCACCACCAGCCTGAACCGTTGATACAAGGCAGGATGGATCCATGCTTTCATGTTGTTGATGCCAAATTCTGACCCTACCATCCGAATGTCGCAGCAGAAATCGAGACTCATCAGACCAGGCAACGTTTTTCCAATCTTCTATTGTCCAATTTCGATGAGCTTGTGCAAATTGTAGCCTCAGTTTCCTGTTCTTAGCTGAAAGGAGTGGCACCCGGTGTGGTCTTCTGCTGCTGTAGCCCATCTGCCTCAAAGTTCGACGTACTGTGCGTTCAGAGATGCTCTTCTGCCTACCTTGGTTGTAACGGGTGGTTATTTGAGTCACTGTTGCCTTTCTATCAGCTCGAACCAGCTGAAACTAGGGTTTCTCTGTAAACCCTAGAGATGGTTGTGCGTGAAAATCCCAGTAGATCAGCAGTTTCTGAAATACTCAGACCAGCCCTTCTGGCACCAACAACCATGCCACGTTCAAAGTCACTCAAATCACCTTTCTTCCCCATACTGATGCTCGGTTTGAACTGCAGGAGATTGTCTTGACCATGTCTACATGCCTAAATGCACTAAGTTGCCGCCATGTGATTGGCTGATTAGAAATTAAGTGTTAACGAGCAGTTGGACAGGTGTACCTAATAAAGTGGCCGGTGGGTGTATATTCACATAATATTGATGTTGCTGTTTAATTTGCAATAAAGTATCTTAACTACACATTTAGCTTTCTATTTTTCACCTGTTTGGAATTGAAATAACGAGTCATTAGGGATCGGAATCGATAAGCAGAGTCAGAATCAGATTTATATAAATCCTAATGATACCCATCCCTACTGTAGATGTTCTTTTTACCTTGTATTTCAGTCCATTTTAATACCATTGAGCTAAAAAATGACAGAGATTGTATTGCTTCAAATAGGGGATGACTCATTGTTTTTCAAAGACCATTGCCAACGATTAAAGAGCAGGTTGGTTAACAGGTGTTAGTGATATATATACACCATTAAGCCGCGTTCAGACCAAACGTGACCTGAAGCGACCTAGTCGCGTTGGTCGTTGTATTCCTGTCGCGTCGCGCCCTGGTGTGTTCACACCGGGTCCAAAGCTGCGGTCACGGAGGTCGCAGGACGCGGCTGGTCGCCGCTGACCCGCTTCTCCCACCTTCCTTCTCCATCCTTTTCTCCCTCATATATACATCCTGCAGCCCCTTCCAGCGCTTGCGGCACACATCCACTGCAAAGACACGCACACACACGTTAAAACATGTAGCCTATCAAGCTTGGGAAGTTTGCTATGTTTTCAGAAAATAGTCTGCTCACTGAAATAAATTAACAAACAAACTTCCCAGAAAGCCCGACATCATGGGCCACCTTTGCCCATGCCTCCTCCTTGGAGTTGCGGTCCCGGTAGAACGCGCACCCCAAGTCGTACAGGACTGGGTGATAACTCATGGCAGTGATAAGCTGCTCCTCCATTGTGATTCTTCTTCTCCTCCTCCTTGCTTTGCCGGTTTGTTGACGACAGTAGAGCCCTGATTGGCTGTCGTGGCACAGAGTCGCTCCCAAAGTTCAAACATTTGAACGCGACCTCGGGCGACGCGACGTCAGCGACCACGCGCGACTTGGTCGCCGAGGTCGCTGACAACCGCTGGTCACCAAGTCGCGTCGCGGCTGTCCATAGACTTTGCATTGGGAGTCGTTGCTCATGGCGCCAAGGTCGCGTTTGGTCTGAACACGGCTTTATGCATTCCCTAGTAACCTATATGTCAGTGCCTTTGTTGTGTGCCACCCCAGTCAAAATTGGCCAAAAACCAAAAACACTGAAAGAAATCATTGTGCCAGTTATTCGACAATTATATGACTGTGTACTAACCTCACTAAAATCGAGCATTGCATTTGTATAAATTAATATGAATTAATATGAATGTTCTGCATGTTCTGTGGTATTTACACCGTTAGATGGTGCCCGCGAGTCAGGGAAAAAAACAGCTCAAAAATTGGAAAAGAAAGAGCGGTAGAGACATGGCTAAGAGGAAGTAGCTTCCCCCAGCATCCGCTTGTGTATTTGGTGACAATATCTGCCACAGACGGAGTGGGCGTGCCCAGAGGGATTTTTCCTGCTCTGTGTTGGTTCCTCTCACATTTAGAATGGCCATTGGGATGTTTGGATTTTTTAGATTATAAATTATACCTTAAGTTAAGAAACTCTTTGCAGATGCACCCCCTCTTGAAAACATGTTGGCTCTTATCCAGACAAGCATGTGCTGGTCGTGGGTTTTGCTTGCATCATCACAATGTCTGTTTTGGCTGTGTTGTTTTGGTGAGAAAAGTTCTGGGCTCTTTTTCAGCCGAAAATTTTCTGTGGCCGAATTTTCGGTGCACCCCGAGCAGATATTTATACTTTCAGTTGAATTATTAATAAGAAACCTTCTAACTAGGCACAATTTTTAAAATGCTAAAATTTACACTAAAATGTGACCCCAAACTTGTCTCCTGAAAATACTTTTATTGATCAACACATTAGATCAATTAGCATAATAACGTGCAACATAGACTTATAGATACCTCTGTAAGACGAGAACAAAACTGAACAACCACCCATCAAAAACTCCACAGCACTCGACACAAGCAACAGTAAATTTTAGTTCAGTTTACGTTAGCACTTACTAGAAAGTCAGCTTGTGAATGCTGATCAAACTACTCAGTTATGTTAGCTTCAGCTTGCCCAAGGCTTAGCTCAATACAACAACTCATCTTTGTGAAGCACAAGATGCCTTGGTGTTATTTTCAACAAACTTAATGAATACACAAAGTTTTTAAAGATGGCTGTATGTCAGCTGATGATATAAGAAGATAAGAACTTTATTGATCCCCAAAGGGTAATTCAATTGTCTGTGGTCTCCTATCATCTACCATTTACAGAGGATTACAGTCTGATTGCTGTAGGTACAAAAGATCTTGTCATAACCCTGCTCTTAAGCCATGACATATGGAAACGGATGCAGTGTAAGGCGGGAAGTAAAGATTTATTTTACCAAAGTGAAGACTTAAACAATAATTTGTAAATATGGAGTGTGTTAGTCAGTGATATCAGTCATGTAAGTGTGGATGTGTGAGTAATGAAGTGTAGGGTGTTGTGGGGTGAAAATAAACCAAAGTCAAACCAAAGCAAAAAGCCTGCAACAGCAGGCCTGTGGCAGGGTCAGAGGAAGAGAGCGAGCCGCACTGGAGAAGGGCCTTTTATGCTCTGTGGCAGCATTAGGCACAGGTGCTTCAATTGTCTGCCACACCCACTTTCTCCCAGGTAGCCCTGCAGGGAAAACATGAAATGGCTCCACCAGGATTAGTCCACCATACCCCAGTTAGGCAGGGCCGTCACAATCTTTTGAATCTTTCAGTCTTGCAGCTAAGTGTAAGAGAACATCCACCACCATTGGCCCTTCGGTCCATCACTGTGTGATGAAGTGGATGATCCATGTTTTTTTCTAAAAGTCTCCACTTTCCTCAGTGTGCATCTCTCTACCACATCCTCCAGTGAGTCCAATTTGATTCGAACCACAGAGCCAGCTTTTTTAATCAGCTTATTCAGTCGCCTTGCATCCTTGTGTTTTATACTGCCTCCCCAGCAGACTGCAGCATAAAACAGAACACTTGACACTAGTGCTGGGCGATAGGACGATAGATATCGTGGGCACGATAGAAAATGTCTATCGTGTCATTTTTATTTTTATCGTTTTGGGCGATAGGCTGTATTTTATCCATAAGGCTTGTGCCATCAGATGATTCATAGTGACAACAACAATAATTGCACATTCAGTAAGTGTATTTGGTGTTGAACGGGAAAGAAAACAATATTTTCTTACAAAGAAAAGGATGCGTTGACATGTAGGCTTGCATTTCTCTTTCGATTTTGCGACATGACGCCGCTTTACGTGCCCTCTTCGTGTCCTCTTCGTGTCCAGCGTCTCCCGCCGTTGTGGGTTACCTGGGTTACACAAGTGAGGAGATCATTGTAAGCAGTGCTTAGTTTGTGCCGGAGCAAGTCGGAGCGCGATCCGGGACCTATTTCAGCCGCTCCGGCACCTGTTTCATCTGCTCCGGGACCTTCCCTGTAGAGGATGACATTTTTCGGGAATTCCCGTGGGTCACGTGATTCCCGCGGATGGGAGTCGTTTTTTAATTAATCCCTTGATCGGGACGGGACGGGAAAAAAAGCAACGGGAGTGGGCAGGAGCGGGAACAACATTAAAAGATTATCATTTTCAGCCGTGTTTAACAACCAGATGAACAGGTGCGTCCATTTTTGTAGTCATCTCTCAGTGAGAGCCAACACTCTTGACCGCGCTAGCAACACAAAAGAACTACAACAGTGGTTTGACTTCCTGTCAGCTGGGAGCGCGGCTGCGCATTTGTACCCTTCAAGTCAGGAGCAAGGACACGTCATTTTGTGACATTCTGTAGTTTTTCAATCATTTCTGGAGTCGTGGCGACTCAAATCACCTTACCTGTCTGCCCCTGATAGGCGAATAAAGCGCTCGGATTCATGCTCGGGTCTTGCTACGTGCTTCAAGAGTAAAGTAAACAATGATGGAGGCAGAGAGCAGCTTTGCAGGAGAAACATCTAGCAGTGTGAACAACCTCTTCAAAAGAGCCCTAAAGACCTACCTTTTTAATAAAGCCTTTGGTTAGTTTTCCTCTATGCTTTATGCTTTTACTACCTTGCCTCTTACTTTGCAACTCTATATATATACTTTTTTTTAATTCTTTTTTTATGCCAATCTGTGACTGTCATTCTATTGCTTTTTTTTATTGTTGCTGCTCTTTTTTTACTGTGTACTGTAGCACTTTGAGATTTTTTGTAAATGTAAAGTGCATTACAAATTAAATTTATTATTATTATTATTATTATTATTATTATAGAGTGCTTTGGCTCACACTATCGGCGTTTTCTGTGAGTGTTGCATAACTTTGGGTGAGCACAGACATGAACGCACTTCGGCCACGTATTTATTTATTCATTTTTCTAGTTTTAAGTGCTGGTCTTGTACTGGCACTGTACTAGTGCAGCTGTATACACTTAAATTTTTCATAGAACTGAAAGCATACCATAGCTATATCGTGATATATATCGTTATCGTGATATAAAATGATCCATATCGTGATATACATTTTTTTCCATATCGCCCAGCACTACTTGACACCACAGAAAGATATTAAGGTAGAAGGTGGACTTTTACAGAATCTATCCTGTGACTTAGAATAAGAAAAGAAATTGAGTTCCATCTGTCTCTGTCATCTTTAATTTTTACCAGGAGTGGGGCATAAATTTTCTCAGCCAAGTAGGGGACTGATTTTGGTGGATGTATGTCTAAATATTTCAACAAATTTAGGTTCCATTCAAAACTAAATTTCTCTGTAAGGTGATTTGACGGTGGCAGGGATATCCTTGTTGTGTTCCTCATTGTAACATAGAAGAGTCTGACAAAACCGTTTATCTTAAACCAGGCTGACGGTTCACTGTAGAGGCTTGGGTGGTCTTCACAAACTTTTTGTCCATACTAGATCTACTGCGGGTGTTATCCAGAAAACGCCAGCTCACTGAGTTAAAAGCTCTCTTTGGTAATACACTGTGTGCACAATTATTAGGCAAGTTGTGTTTTTGAGGATAAATTTTATTTTTGAACAACTGCAGTGCTCTCAGTCAATCCAAAATGTTAATAAACCTCAAACCTTAATATTTAAGGGAGTAAAGGTGAGATTCCTTAGGAGAATATCTATGTGTGCACAATTATTGGGGGCAGCTATTAGTGTGCAGAATTATTATGCAACTAAATTAAAAATGAAAAATTTTCCATCTCACTTGTTTATTTTCACTTGTTAAAGTGAGAATGATAAACAAACAACTCAATTTACAAATAAAAATTGTTGAAATTAAAAAAAAAAATCAGTGACCAATACAGCCAACCTTCTTTTCAATAACAGTCATAAGCCTTTCATTCATGGAGTCTTTCAGTTTCTTGATCTGTTGACGATCAACTTTTTGTGTTGCAGCAACCAAAGCCTACCAGACACTGTTCCAGACACTGTTCAGAGAGGTGTACTGTCTTCCTTAACTGTAAATTTCCCGTTAAGGAGGGCCCACAAGTTCTCAACAGGGTTTAAGTCAGGTGAAGAAGGAGGCCATGTCATTATTCTTTCGTTTTTAAGGCCTTTACTGGTGAGCCACACAGTGGGGTACTTTTTTGCATGCAATGGAGCATTGTCCTGCATAAAAATCATGGTTTTCTTGAAAGATGCAGACTTTTGCCTGCCCACTGCTTGAAGGAAGTGTCTTCTCAAAACTGGCATTGGATTTGGGAGTTGATTTTAAGTCCATCTTTAACCCGAAAAGGTCCAGCTAGCTCATCTTTAATAATACCAGCCCATACCAGTACCCCGCCTCCACCTTGCTGGTGTCTGATTCGAAGTGGAGCTCTGTGCCCATTACTGATCCAGCCACGGGTCCAGCCACGGGTCCGTCAAGAGTCACTCTCAACCCATCAGTCCATAAAACCTTTGAAAAATCTCTCTTCAGATATTTCTTGGCCCAGTCTTGACATTTCGACTTGTGTCTTGTTCAGTGGTGGTCAGATTTCAGCCTTCCTTACTTTGGCCATGTCTCATCTTGTACCTCTGGGCACTCCAGGTAGG